CCCCCCTCCTCCCTTGCCTACTCTCTCCGCTTCCCCAATGCCCAAGGCCCCATTGGGCCCCATAGTACCAGGTAGATGGTAATGCCCAGGTAGGCAGCGGCCAGCACGGCTACAAGAGCAAAGTAGGCGGGGTGAGGGAGACTGGGCAGGTAGCTGACCACGAAGTAGAGGTTGATGGCACAGACCAGCGCCATGATGAAGGACGTGATGGCCTTGCTTACCCTGGAGACAGAAGGGGGTCTCAGGACTGGTTGGGTGCAGTGAGGCCTCTCCTCTCCCACCCACCTCCCCTCTGCCTCTGGTGCTTACCGCCCACTTGGAGCTCTGGGGAGGGGAGGAGACAGGAAAAGCCAGGTTCTCTGGCTTGTAGGACCTGGCTTAAGCCCTCACCCACTCCGCCCTCCATGGCCCTCCTGAGTGTGCAGGCTGCCCACTGGCCTGTGCCTAGAAAGAGCATGGATGAGCATGCGCACACAGGCACACACGCATACACACACAGGCACCAGTCCCAGGTCTACTTTTAGCTACCAGCCCGGCACACACTACAAGACTGAAGTGGGCAGGAGGGTGGGAATCAGGGTGGCTCACCGGCCGTTGGCAAACTCGTGCATGAGCTCGGGCATGCTGGTGAATGTGAGGATGGGCAGCACGGCACAGGGAAGCTGTGGTGGGTAGGGAGGGTCCGCTGAGAGCCTGCCCCTCCCCACAGATGGAGGGGGGCTCTGGGCCTCCTCTGCCCTCCCTCCTGGGGCTCTTTGGGCAAGTCCCTAAGCACCCTGGGCTTCAGTTTCTCCATCTTAACGCCTCCCAAAGCCTCGGGCACAGGTGGCTTGAGTTTGAATCTCAGCTCTTTGGGAAGCTGTGTCCGTTGCCCCCTCTGTGAAAGGAGGTTGTGGGGGCTCCCGCCTCCCTGCACGGCTGTGGGGGATGAGGTGAACCAGGAGGCGAGGTGCGAGGAGGAGCGTTTTCGGTGGTTTGGTGGAGTTCAGCGGCGGGGTGCAGGGGGCCCCAGCTCACCAGCAGGCTCTGTAGCACGTTGAGCATGTCATTGAGGCCTGACAAGTCCCGGAGGTCCCTGAAGACAGCCACCAGCACGGTGGGCAGGATGGCACAGGAGCGGGTGAGGAGGACGCGCGCGAAGCGGGACCACCGCAGCTTCAGAAAGCCCTGGGTGGAGGGTGAGCATTTGGGGGGTGGGCGGTGGCCAGGGCTGGGAATTCTAGGGGAGACCTTTCACTTCCAGGGACTCCTCTGCTGTTGTGTATGAGGTGGGGTGCAGTTCTGACCCTAGGTGGCAGAAAGGGGGTACGTGAAAGGGATGGGGTCTTCCTCCCACGGTTGACGGCTAAAGAGGAAACAAGTTTGGGAAAATGGTCATATTAGTCGCCTTGTTCCTCTGAACCCCAGTTTTCTCCGCAGTAAAGTGGGGTGTATAAATGGCACCCTCGGGCTGCTTCAAGGGCCCAGAAACCCGAAGTTTGCCCCCCCTGAGGGCTTGTGGTATTTGGACTCTGGCCCACCCCAGCCCCACCTCCATCACGAACTGTCCCGCGTAGGTCCCTGTCATGGTGGAGCTCTGCCCTGCGGCCAGCAGCCCCACGGCCCAGATGTAGAGGGCTGCAGGCCCGAAGAGGCAGCCCAGGATCACTCCCTGTGGGGGGGGAGGGTGGGAAGCATGTGGTCAGACTGGTGGCCCCGCCCCTGATGGGCAGGATGAGGGGTCTCGCCCTGGCCACCTTGTCCAGTGCTCACCCCTTGGTAGATGTCCACAGCCACCGTCAGGTTGTCCTGGGGGAAGATGTTGGCGTAGTCGGGGAGGCTGCTGTTGGCACAGATGTTGAACTGCAGCACCAGGACAAAATTCCAAAACTCAAACTCCTAGCCACCCTACCTACAGGACAGGGTCGAGCTGCCCTGTGGGCCCCCCAGGGTGTAGCTCTTTGTGGCAGGAGACAGGTTCAGCTTTCTACCGTCAAGGACAGGAAGAGAGGCAAACAGTCGGCCTCTTAACAAGTCAAGAGTTGAAGGCTGGCCCAGATGTAGTTTGGCAAAGCCCTGTCTCTCCAGGAGAGTGGCAGGTAGGTTTGAACTGCTGACCTTGCAGCTTAGCATCCCAATGAATAACCATTACTCCATGAGGTCTCAGGATCTCAAAGGGCAGTTCTATCCTATGTTGCAGGCTCGCTATGAGTCAGCTTCGACTCCATGGCAGCAAATGAGTCCTAGAATCGCTATGAGGGTTATAGGAATGAAGTCAGGCACATGGGAAGTGCTGTCTGGATGTTTGTTGTAATTATTTGTTACAAATACATGCATGAGGGTGGAGGGAGAACTGGGGGTAGAAAGGGGGAACTGATTACAGGGATCTACATGTGACCTCCTCCCTGGGGGATGGACAACAGAAAAGTAAGTGAAGGGAGATGTCGGACAGTGTAAGATATGACATGGAATTTTTCCCCCACAAACTTTTGAAGCCCCTCGTATTGTCTCTCTGTGTTGTTTTTTTTAAGATGCCAACTGTCCTAATTCACTTTTTATTTTTAATCATTTTATTGGGGGCTCTTACAGCTCTTATAATATTCCATACATCAATTGTATCAAGCATATTTGTACATATATTGCCATCATTTTCTAAACATTGATTTTTTTTAAAAATCATTTTATTGGGGCTTGACTGTTTTTTTTTACATTGAGTTTCTACTTGAGCCCTTGGTATCAGCTTCTCTTTTTTAACCTTCCTCCCCCCCCCACCCACCTGTATCTTTTTTCAGTGTGACTTTGTTGCCCACTTTAAAATTGAGAGGATTTCAAATGCGAGCCCCAACCTCAGCTTCTCTTAGATGTAGGGGTGCTGCTGTCACCACAGAGGGGCCACCTATTAGAAGGGACTCATGCTGCCCCACAGCCGCAGCTTCCCACAACCATGCCTGGCCCTGATGACACACCGTCACCACCTCTAGTTAGACCTCATGCCTCGCCTGAGGAGCAGAGTGAGCCAAGGGGAGGTCAGTGGCAGAGTCCACGTCCCAGGTAAACACCCAAAACTGGCCAGCAAGTGTCACAGCCCCCAGGACAGACCTCCAGGGACAGATGTCACAGCACAAACGTCACCTGGGCTAATGCAATCCCATCCCCCAATCCTATCGCATGCCCCCTCCCACCCCACCCACCCCCTGGATTTTCTTCCTAGCAATGTCCACACTGGACACTTGTTTGTTAACTTATTCCCGATCTGTTGCCCTTTTCCCCATGTAAGCTCCTAGACTCTAGCACCTAGAGGGTCTTTGTGGGCCCTGGGTCTGGGACCCCAGCTAATACTAACAAATACTCAGCATAGATGTGCTGGTGAGTGACAGCCAGTCGCTGACATTGAAGATTATCAGGAGCAAACACTCTGAGAGGAGTCCAACCGCCTGCCCCTTCCCAGCTCAGGCTCCTGCATGGGAGACCCTCCGCCCTCCCCTTACCGGCCCCCATCCCCATGGAAGCTCCCACTGTAGTAAGGCTGCACATCAGGCCCACCCTCCACTGCCACGGAGTCTGCTCCTTCCTCCAGCCTGCTCCCTAGCAGCACGCTGGTGTGGGCTTGGCCCTCAAAGAGCCTGCTGAGCGTGTGGTGAGCTGGGGCCAAGTCACATCTCCTTCCCCAAACTGGTGCCCAGAGACCCAGGCGGAACAATGCCTGAGACCCCAGCAGGACTGGCTTGCAGGCGTGTGTGCGGTGAGTGTGTGTAGTGTGAGAGAAAGACACAGGAGTGGGTGTGTGGGGTAGTTACACCTGATTGGGTTGGTGGCAGAAGGCTGGCTTGCAGGATGTGTGTGGTGTGTGTGGTGTGTAGTGTGTGTGTGTGTGGCGTGGGTCTGGTGTGAAGTCTCGCCTCACCGCGTCCTGGTTGGTTTGGTGGTAGAAAGCCTGCCCAAAGACGGCCATGACGAAGAGATTGATGAAGAAAGAGACGGAGAGGGCAATGGTGGCCTCAATCAGGAAGTACTTGTTAGCCTCGCGGACCTCAGTCGGGCGGGTCCTGTCAATCTCTCGAGACTGGCGGCAAAGGGGAGAGAAGGGCCAGGTTTATCAGTCACCCCAGTGGCACCCCCATGCCTCTACCTGTGTTACCCTAAACTCCAGTTCCTCCGAACCCCCCTGCAGGGCAGTCTGGGAAACGTTGGTCCCACATTTCTGCCGTTGCCACTGGGGGATAAAGGAAGGCTGGCCTCTGAGACCCAGGTGACCTGGCCCCACCCTGTCTGCCCTCCACCGGGGACCAGCTCTCCAGCACCAACTTCAACTCGTGTCCGAGCAGGGACTTTGAACTCACCGCGCTATGCCTGGGCCCAGTTTCTCCCTTCAAATCTCAAAGATGGCCTTTCTTGGGTGTGCTTTCTAGAGCCATCCACCCCTCTCATTCTCCTCTGTTGGTGAACCCCACAGCTCTGACCCCCTCCCCCCATCCTTTCCTTTCCTGCCCACTCTTCAGTCTCCTCCCCTAGAACGCAAGTTCAAGGACCGCAGCTTGATCTGCCCCCCCCCCCCAACTCCCCATGGTAGAGGGCGGGGCTCCAGGCTTTAGGGCGGGCTGGCGAGGGACTAAGGGGTCTGCCCATGCCCCGTCCTGGGCTCACCTTCACCAGGGCAGAGTGCAGGTAGATGTTGTGGGGCATGATGATGGCCCCCACGATGCCCACGGCCTGCAACAGCTCGGGCTGCCCGCAGCCCGGGCACGAGGGCAGGAAAAGGCCACGAAGAAGGACTCCCTGCTCCGGACGGGCCACCACATACTGCGGGGGAGGAGCCTCGTCAGGCCCAGCACCCCACCCCCCACCCCCGCCCTACCGCCCACCCCCCCCACAGCCCCCAGGAACTCAGCATCTCCCAGGGACAGAGACGGTGGCCGTGGGGGTGCTCCCGTGTCCCGCTCCCCACCTCGTAGCCGAAGGTCAAGGCCATAATGGTAATGAGGAGTCCGAAAAAGGCTTCCAGTTTCCGCAACCCTAGAGGGAGGATGGAGAGGGCAAAGCAGCAGTCGGGAACACTAGGTTCTCCACCTCCCTAATACCGCTACCCTTTCATACAGTTCCTCATGTTGTGGGGACCTCCCAACCATAACATTATCTCCATTGCCGCTTCATCACTGTCATTTTGCTACTGTGATGAATCAGGCTACCCCTGGTCCACTCCTAAAGGGGTCATGACCCACAGGTTGGGAACCGCTGGCTTATGTTTTATTGTCACCTCCCAAACACCTGGTGAGGTCTGTGCTATTATTCGCCCCAGGCTCTAGGTGAAGACATTGAATTCCCAGAGACGCTCCCAGCTAGACTAATAGAACCCAGACAGGAACCCAGGCCTGCAGCCCCTCTGCGGGCACAGAGCTCCTGTAGTGACCAGGCCCTGCGCCCAGCGCCCCTGCACCCCGCACCATTCCTCTCAGAGACCAGGGGCACACGGACCCACCGTAGTTGTCCAGGAAGAGGAAGAAGAAGGTGTCCACGATGGTGATGAGCACCCCGCCCCAGAGAGGAATTCTGGAACCAGAGGGGCTGGGTCAGCCGAGGCTGCTCCAGGGGCCTGGGACCACTACCCTCAGTCTGGAGATGGGGGGGTCTGGGCACTGAGGCAGGAGCAGGGGAGAGTACTCAGGGGAGGGCTGGTGAGGAGCAGGGTTTGTCTCTGAATGGAACTTGGGCCCATGGTCCACAAGTCTGTACCCCTTCCATGCTGTGTGACTTTAGACAGGTCACTTTAGGGGTTAAAGCCTCAGTTTCCCCATCTGGCAAATGAGGCCACAGCTCCCAGGCAGGAGACTGCAGGCCAAAGGGGACTCAGGGGCGTTCAAGGCCTGAGCCGGCAGCTGGAGTCCCCGTCCCTGGACTGAGTGGCTGACGCTCCTGGAGGCAGTACCGTTCTGCCGACAGCAGATGGATGGCAATGGCTGTACCAATGACCTCCTGCATGTCGGAGCCCACAATGGCCAGCTCGATGGTCAGCCAGAGGAGGACACGGGGGACCTATGGGGATAAAGGAAACTGACAGCCAGCTGTTCGCTGCCTCAGCCCGGCTCTGGGGCCCCTCCACACGCTGCTCTGTGCAGGCCTGGAAGCCTGTGGCTTAGCCGGCCCTGCAAGACCACCCTGGCCCCTCCGCAGCTGCTGCCAGCTGGCCTCTGTAGCAGACACTGATGGGGGCTGGAAGGCGGGCGGGGCTCCCCGTGTGACTGTGGCTGTGGTAAGGGTGGTGGCCACTTCAGCCGTGGCGGCCAGGGTGGTTCCTGCCCAAGAATATGGCAGCTTCCTGATTCCTGGGACAGCTCCCTGCCCCTTGCGCCTCCAGTCCCGCTGACCGCTGACACCGTTGCTGCTCAGTGCCTGAATGAAGTCCCCTTTGAAATGTCCAGGGGCTTCCTCTCTGTGTCCCCGAGTAGACCCTGATTATACAATAACTCTGTCTCCGATGCCCACCGTCCACCTGCCACCCCAATGGCTGGCCCCTAGTTGACACCCACTTGGTTCTCACCTGGGACCACTCACTGCCCGTGTCAGTTTCCCCTCTGTGAAGGGAGCATTCGATACTTCCTGCCGCTTTCCCACTGTGACCATGAGTTTGAGTCTCGTCTACTCAAGGAGGTGGGAGCCCTAGTGGTGCAGTGATTAAGCGCTGGGCTGCTGGCAAATAACAGCACAAACCACTAGCGGCTCCGAGGGAGGAAAATGAGGCTTTCTACTCTCAGAAAGCCCAGATTCAAAGCCACACTGCCCATGTGGGTAAAGCCTCATCTTCCTCCCTGGGAGAGGCTGGCGGTTTTAAACTGCTGACCTTGTGGTTAGCAGCCCAACACAGAACCACTCCACCACCGGTGCTCCTCTGAGACACCCACGGGGTCATTCTACCCTGGTCCTATATGAGTCCGAGTCGACTGCATGGCAGTGAGGAAGGATGGCTCTTTGATCGTGGCTGGTTCAGAACCTCACCTTTGGGTAGTAGAGATGGCAGACCTCGCCCAGGTCCTTGCCTGTCACCACGCCCAGCCGAGCTGCCAACCGCTGACAGAGCAAGCCCAACACCGTGGCCCATAGCAGTACCCAGAGCAGCTGTGGGGGAGGCAGGGGAGACCTTCAGCTAGAGGGGCCAGTCTCAGGTCACCAGAGGGGGTCGTACAGTCCAGCTGGGACACTCCTTTGAGGGAGGGTGGGGGCAGGGAGCTAGGAAAAAGCACCACCCCAACGCAGACACCCCACCCTCTGCAGGGCCTGCCTGGGGATCCCCTCTCAGATGGATGATCATAAACTTCACCCCTGCTCCCACTGACCACCCTCCCCCACTGCCAATTCAGTCACTTTGAAGCCGGCCACGGCGCCAGCTTGCAGGTCTGATTCGATGTTTCCTGGATCCAAGAAAGCGATGCTCATGAGAAAGCCGGGCCCTGTGAAGGCCCACAGCTTCCGCAGGCTGAACGTGCCCTGGACGGGAGGAAAGGGAGGTTCTAGGTCTGAGTGGGTGGCAGCCAGCCTGGGCAGCCCCTACTTCCCATCCTGGCCCCACATCAGCTGGCCCTGGGGCTGTCCCCAACACACACGCTCCACCCAAAGCAGTCCGGGGTGGGGGAGACGGGAGAAGGGGGGGGGGATGACTGCAGATGGTCTGCTGAGTCACTGAGGGAGGACCTGCTCTCAGGATCTGTCACGTTCTGTATCCTGCGCCTGACCAGCCTGCCTCCCCAAGGTCCTGAATCAGCAGAGCCTCAGATGGGGGCTTTTCAGGGGGCAGGCCTTTCTCACTCTGTCCCCAGCCCACAGGGCCTGCTCTGCTGGGGTCCTCCTGCCCTACCCTGGCCCAGGACAGGAGATCCTCTGAAGGTCCTAGAAGCCTGCAGCCTCTGCCCTGATTCCTCATTCCCTTATCCGGGCCCTTTCTTTTGATGCGGAAACAAGTGCCCAAAGCTCCAATCCAGAAAGCCGTTTATAAGTGCTAGACAACCATTGAACCCAAAGTGCTGGGGACAGAAGCAAGAAGGGGGTAGCTGCCACTGTCTGTCACTGCTCTCAGAGAGCCCCCCCACCAACTGCCCCAGCCTAGACACTCCACGGACCCTGCAGAGCCCTGAGACGTTTACAGCGTTCTCACCGGGTCTGCATCTGGGATGGCGATCTTCTCACTCAGATAGGTCTCTCCGGCAGACCCTGGGCTGGGTGGGCTGGAGATGGAGCCATAGCTGGGCCTGCTGGGCCTTTGGGGATGCCTGTCACCTGCAAGGGGTCCCATGAGGCATGGTGAGTGACCTGTCTCTTTCTGGAGGCCCTGGGGTAAAGTCTTCTTTCTAGCGAAGTGCAGACATCAAGGGCCACTAAACAGGAGGCCCTGACCCATGCTGGCTCCATCACGTCCACCCCTCAGCCAACCTCCCAGCGGAAGATGTGTGTGTGTGTGTGTGTGTGTGTGTACACTTTAGAATGACACTCTGCTCCCTGGAAGCACAGAGACCCCCAATCTAGATCTCTCCCTTCCTCCCACCCCCACCCTACCATGAAAGATGGGGAGCAAGATCCTAGTCTCTGCAGAGCATGAACCGGGGTGGGGGCCCGCCACATCAGCTCCCACGCCCCCTGCCTTCCTCATCCAGCAGCCGAGAAACCGGACAGTGCCATGACCAGACCTAGCTCCATCCCGATCCTGAAGGTGGCTGCTCACCTGTCATGAGGCCTGCGGGCTTCAGGTCCACTCTGGGTGTGGGTGGAGTGATGGGCTGCTCCTCGCCTGGGACCCACTCTCTGTGCCCTGGCACATGTGAGCCAGCAGCCGCTTCTTCTCCTTCGGATCCTCGGTGCGCACCGCCAGTCAGTCTCCATCTCTTACATCATCACTCTCACACGGGATGTTGTGAAACTCTTTCCAAAGGCAGAAGTGGCTGCTCTGGCGGAAGGGTCTGGTAGCCCACAGCATGGACTTCTGTCCCTGCCCTCTGGCCCACTCTGCCCCCGGCCCCCTTCCGGGCACCCGTGCTCTGTGATTCCCAGTTTCACACTGATTTCACTGACTTCCTGCCACTTGGGTGTTATGACCAGATTACACGACTGGACTGGCCTCCTCACCATCTCCCAGCAGCCCCAGAGCACATACCCGAGCTGCCAGAGCCCCCTGGCCACAGGCCGGCCTGAAGACAGAGAGTCCTCATGACTACATAGGTGTGGGCTTTCCATTGGGTGACTCAGCGGAAAAGATTCCGGCATGACCACAGGGACAGGCACTGAAGACTCAGGCCAAGGGTAATCTCAGAAGAAGGGAGCGCTAGAAGTGGAGTCAGGGCACTGGGGATCAGGACACTGGAGGTCAGGGCACTGGGGGTCAGGACACTGGGGGTCAGGGCACTGGGGGTCAGGACACTGGGGATCAGGACACCGGAGGTCAGGGCACTGGAGGTCAGGACACTGGGGATCAGGACACTGGAGGTCAGGGCACTGGGGGTCAGGATACTGGGGGTCAGGACACTGGGGGTCAGGGCACTGGGGGTCAGGACACTGGGGATCAGGACAGTGGAGGTCAGGGCACTGGAGGTCAGGATACTGGAGGTCAGGACACTGGGGGTCAGGGCACTGGGGATCAGGACAGTGGAGGTCAGGACACTGGAGGTCAGGGCACTGGGGGTCAGGACACTGGGGGTCAGGGCACTGGAGGTCAGGACACTGGGGGTCAGGACACTGGGGGTCAGG